GGGATGCTGCCGGTGGGCCCGCGCCGCAGCCTCTCCCGGCGCTCCCTCCCGGAGGCGTTTCCTGCCGCGCCGGGGCCGGGGCCGGTCAGCTGCGCCTCAGCGGAGCCGGGCGGCCGTGCCAGCCCCGCCGGCCCTGCGCGGGGAGCCGAGCTCGGCGGGCCCCGGCCCCCGCCTCCAGGAGCTCGGCGTCAGCCCCCGCCCAGAGCCCCCGGCCCTCCCCGCGGCAGGGTCCTGGTCCCCGGGGGTGGCCGCTGGTCGGGCCGTGTCCCACGGGAGCTCCTGCACAGGCATCCCGCACTTCTCCCCGCCACCAGCATCCAGGCGTGGCGTTACGTGTGGCTGTCACTCGGATCCAGAGCACTTATATCCTTAAAAGACCAGCGGCTTTAGTAAGCGGGTTGTCAGTTGTTCCTCTGTTTATTGAGACAAGCGTAGGAATAGATGCTTGTTTAGGAAAACGGTGCTGAAGGTGCCATAGCTGCTACGGATGCCTGCTATGTTCAAGTTTGACGGAGTTTAAAACCCAGGTCTGCTCAGCAGCTCTGAAGTTTTAACAGCAGGCTTTTTTTAAATGTTGTGTTAATGAAAAGGGCAGTGTTGAGGAGTGATGAACTTGGAGTTCAGGGGAGCGGATAGTGGCTATATGAACATTACACTGAAGTATTTTGGTAAAAATTCACCCCAGACATTATTACCTTACTAAGATATATCAGCTCTTGTCCATTGTAGTTAGTAATGTCCAAGGAAAGAGACTGTAAAATGCTGCTTTTCTAGCTTGACTATTTTTATTGTGTGTTTTTTTCCCTGGATAGAAATAATAGACAAAGGCGACATTTACTTTATTGTTTGCATTCTCTGAAGACCCACTGGGGAACAGGGGAAAAGCAACCAATTCTCTCTTCAAGCACAGTGTTTGTGAAAGCAGTCATAAAGCCAGGGAAAATCCTGAGAAGACTTAAAAAAAAATTTCAAACAGGTGAAACGAGAGCAAAAGCCGACGACGTGAGGAACCTGTGGTTGATCACTAATGTGGCTGGTGCTAGGGCAGAGCTTAAACACCACCTAAAATTCATCTTGATTTTAAGCTAGAGCACAGCGGGCCTGAGTTTGTATGGCAGAGTGGGAAAGTGAACTGGTGACAGCCGGTGGTGGTTGGTCCCTGAGGCTGGGAATTGACAGGAAGGCCTCTCTGTTTTGCAACAGCCCACTGCTCCTGCCAGGCTTGGTGGGGCAGCCGGGTGCCTGTGCCCCTCCCCAGTGCTGGCAGCAGTGTGCTCCTGGAGTCCTGCAGCTCTGAGCACTCGCCTGGTCTGTGGTTGAAGACGCACTTGTTATTTACCATCATTAATCAAAAGTGTAAACCTTGGTGGTGTGAGTGCGTAGTTGGCAAACTGTAAACTGGTTAAAAGAACTGGAGACTAATGCTGACTAAAAATAAACTGTTTAGCACATAGAGTCTACCGGGACATCTTAATGTGCACGTAGTAAATGGAGAACAAGGTTGGAAAACAGGAGTCCTAACATGTGAGTTTAATGGTTTTTCTTTAACATGAGGCTCTGATAGTGTTCCTTTCTTTAATCTTAATACTAGCACTGTTGCAGCAACTTGGCAACTTCAGACCTATCATAAAGTGCATTAAACCTATTATAAACCTGATCTTGACATACTTCAGGCATACTGTTGTCTCTCAGTGTAATTGAGTAAATGTGACAGTGTGTAGGGTTTTTATATGCATATTGAAGAAGTGGAAAAACCTACAGACCAACACATTAAGTAAATGCATATCAGCAGCACAAAATAAAGCAATTTCAGGAGTTAAGTGCTTTAGAAGGAGGTGGTTTCACTTCATGGAAACCCTAATTATGGTGGTTAACGTTACAACACTTGTGTCTTGCTTCAAACTTGAAACAAATACGTTTCCCAGCACTTAAGTTAATTCACTATATGTGAGTTTTTCCTTATTTTATAAATTCAGAGCCAGGTGTCCATGTGGTGGCCTCTCAGGAGGAACTGTTTTCCTTCAGATAACAGGGGATGATGTGGGGCAGGTGGGTAAGCCCGTGGGAGTTGGTCTGTATGGCTTGGCAGAGAACAGCCCCTCTAAGGGCTCTGCCTGCAGGTTGGCTTCCCTAGGAGAGGTTTGGGAACGTGATGCAAGAATAAATGAAGTCTGTGCACTCCACTGACATGATGTAAGTTGTTTGCATAACATTCTCCTTTTTGGAATGGATGCAGGCGACAGCACCAGGCTGCTCCTTAGGGATGAAACTTGCTTGAAAGTGGAAAACATGGTCTGTTATTCATGTCTATTGCAGCGGTGCTGTGTAGGCCTGCTGGATGCAGGGCTTGGTTCTGGAGATGCTGCACGGATACTGTAGCACAAAGACTTTGATCCAAAGGTTTTGTAGCTTAGATCACTGAGACAAGTGGGGCTGAGGAGGAGGTGGTGTGCAAGGGCAATATGATGGATGCACTTGTGGCAGTTTCACCAGCTGGGGGGTGAGCGAGGTGAGCTTTCTTTGGAAGATGGATGGTTTTTAAGTCTGCTTCGCTAGCACAGACCTGTTCTGAATCAAACAGTAATTAGTGACTGGAAAAAAAAGGGGGTTTTGAATAAACATGTTTTCTGTTAGCAGATTTAAAGATGTTGGTATGAGAACTCCACGTGGAATTTAATGACTTTGCTACAAAGTCAGTTTTCTAGTCAGTGGAATTCTGGAAGGAGTGAAAAAAGATGTGTTGCCATCCTGGCTGGCTTTGATTTATCCACACAATGCAAACAGCAAGCTTAGTCTGCTCTGTTCTTACAGCTACATGTTGTTTGAGAGATTAATTGATGATTCTTGTTTCAAAATTCTACTCTTGGAGTATGTTTTCTGAGACTGTATAAATATAAATTTTCTACTGTGAGTCATTTTGCTACGTATTTACTGGGTTAAGCCTCTAGATCATTTGCACTGTCTCCTGATGAGCTGTCATGGGGGTTTGTTTGTTCGTTTTTAACATTCATATACATCCAAACCTGGATTTTGATGCTCTGCTTTATGAGTCATTGTTATACTTTAATTCTCAAAGCCTAGTGAATGTAATATTTACACTGAATTAAACTTCGTTTTAAAACATCAGTACTTTTCACCTCAAATCTAACTTTTTGTTGGTCTGCAAGTGAGGTTTCAATGTCTGGCACTGTAAGTGCTGTGGTATTTTCCCTGAGAGGTTTAGGGATTTGCTACCCCAGTCTGATCTGTTGATTGGCTTTTTTTTTTTTTCTTTTTTCCTCCTGAGATACAGTATAAAGCAGGTGTTTGATTGGTTTTTTCCCAAGGTTTTGAGAAGTGACTCTAAGGGGAGAGCTGAGTTTTTAGTATACTGTTATTATTATTTTCCTTATTATAATTTTTCTCTGTTTTGTAAGAAACTTCTTGTAATGTCAGGTTGTCTTTAATAGATTAGCTTTTTATCCTTTCTGATCTTGAAATCCTCCTAATTATTGGGAGAGCCAGAGTAAATGAGGATCGATTTAAGAAACAAAAAAGTCAAGAATGCCAAGAAGATACTTAACTAAATGCAGAATACCCATATTTGCCTCTTTTTAACTACCTGCCAAAGAGCCTCCTTGCAGTCATTAGAATGACCCCTGCATTGTCATCACTGAATTCCTTGGGACAAGTTGTTTTTCCTCCATTCCTCAGACAGTTGCTCAAAGGTACAAATCTGCAGGGAAGTTGCTGTAGCTGTTTGCAGAAGATGACTGGATAAAAAAACGTGTCATAGATCTAAGGGTTTGAAAGTGGATTTTGACTTGCTGGAGGAGTAGCTATAAAATCAGGTGACAGGAATCTGTATCAGGAAACTTAGAAAAAAATCATAGGCTCTACTTACGTAAAAAAAACCAAACTCCTATCTCTTCAAATCTTGAAGAGAGAATAGCCTTGTGGTTAACAAGTACATTCTTTATATCTGAAGAGAAGCACATGCAGTTGTGCATAAAGAGGCTCAGAGCACACGTGATCCCGCAGAATAATTCCCAGTCTGAGGGAGCTGAGTGGGCCACGAGCTTCCCGTGCAGCTGTGAGGGACGTACGGTCCCAGGCCGGTATGAGGGGGTCGTGGGCTGGGGGGAAATGGGCACTTCAGCTTCCAATGAGGTGTTTTTCAGTTGTAGCCGTGTCAGGGGCGATGGGATGGCCAGGAAACAAGGCTCGGTTCCCTGTTCCGAGTTGTGTAGTGGTTTGGAAATGTAAACCTGTGTCAAGATAAAAGCGTGTTTGTCTGCCAGAGGACCAGAGTGCTCTCTTGTGATGTACATCTGATGTGCTGTGCGCCTGCTGTGCCTCTTCCCTTTCCCTTTGCTGGGCTTTCTCAGGATCCTTGCAGAAGTTCCTTCCTATTTCCACGTTAGGGCTTTGCTGTGTGTTTCTGCACTTATCTAAGTTTGAGGAAAACGGCCTTCAAACTGTTACTTTTGTTTTTTAGAGTGAGGGTATCACTCAAAAACCTCTTTGGTCTCACTTGTCACGGCTGAACTGATGACATTCAACAGGCCTCTACCAAAACTTTGTGCTCTCTTCAGGCTCAAGTGAGTTAAAATTTATATTCACTCTAAAATCGATTCTGTGTACTCTCTGAACCCTCCTTCCTCACTCCTATTCTCTGTTGTTCATTTTAAACTTGCCAGTAGTGCTTGTCACTTGCCCTCCTACCATCTTGTGGGTCAGAAAAAAATTTTGCAAAATGAAGATACAGTATTTGAGGGCTGTGGTTAAAATAACCAGCAGATAACTAGACTTTTCTTACTCAGAAGTACATTGTTTTTTATCTGTTTGTTGCACATTCAATCCCTGACTGGAGCACGGGGTTTTTGTCAGTAGAAGGAAAGCCCTGTAGATTCAGGGTTTTTTTGGTAGATTTTTCAGTAACAATACCCCTTTGTTCGTTTTGTCATTTTCAGGCATTTATTTTTAGAACTTAAAAAATTGCTCAATATCAGTTTCAAAAACCTGACTCCTAAACAAACTAGTGATCAAAACAATAAAGAATGCCATATGGCTCCTACCAGTCTCGATGCTGTTATATTTCTGAAGAATATATTCTGTGTTATTAATAATATTCAATGAAACACTCTCAGTGTGGGAAAATATTTACTGAAATTGTCATGAAATATACTTTTCATAGCATTCTAACCCAATATGTTCTAGTCAGAATACCGGGAGTGTATCTGTTGGATTAATCCTTGCACACAATATGCTAGAAGAAGATGGATGCTGAGGCTGATATAAATTATTGAGGGGGGAAGAATATGCAGCAACTGAAGTATTTAAAGATTAACAGTATAATAATTTGTAATATACCCACTATTCATATGGCATGCGAAATTTAAGTTCCACTTCAGTAGAAAAGGGAAACTAAATATAAAAAGATTGAATGCTAATTGGTCTGAAAGCCTTTGGTATAATTTATATGAAACCACATGGGTCAGAGCTCATATATAGGAATAAGGAATATGACTGTGTTGTTTTAAATCAGGATAATTTCAAGTCATACGCTTGCAAAGAATATGTCCTAAATTGTTTGTCCTAAAGTATCCACATGGTTAAAATGTGAGTTCTATCTTGTCATGATAGGAGAGGGAACAGGGAGGAAATCTGTTCTTCAAAATTAAATGCTGTCAAGCTCTGATGTAGCTAGTAAGCAAGTTGCTGCAAACAGATGAGTATATACTGAAAGCTCAGTTACATCCCCTTGACAGAAGTGGGGCCCTGTGCAAGTTCTGGAGTCTTTGTTGTCAAAGCAAGGCGAGGCATGAAGAAAATAAGAGCACTGATCTAATTTTCTCATTAGAAGGGCTTGTCTTCTGGATGTAGAAATGAGCAAATAACCCACAGTCCTTCCAGCAGTCAGGTGGATGTGGCTGGCTGAACTAAAAATTGCAGGAGCTCACTAGACAGCTGCTGGTTTTTGGTTCATGTGGCTTTTGATGGTAGCAGGTAAGAGCACGAAACTGTGCTTTCACATTTGATTGCTCTAACAACTTAATTAGGACTGTCTAATCTTTTGACACTTCAAATGCCTTTTTTTTTTTTTTTAAAAAATCTGATTGTCTCTGAAGAAACTGGATTAAAAAACAAGGCTGTATGTATGTGCTGACATTGTTTTTATTAAGTTCTGACCTTGAATACATGAATATTTAAGGTTCCAAGATTTTTGTGCGGCCTTTTCTCTGTAAGTGAAACCTCTGATCCTCATAGATAGTATCCCATAGAAATGACATTTAAAAGCAAAAAACATACACAAACCTTATCAGTGTTTGGGAGTTTAATGATGATATTTTTAGACTTGTCTATCACTGAACTGTGTAAGGTTTAGGTTATTTTAATGAACTTTTGTTTTTAGAAATACACTTGGCTTGTTTTGTCAGCCATTATTTGTTTTTTGAATCAATAAGAAACAATTAATTTAACATACTAGTGAATGTTAGTCTCTTTTCTGTTATTAGCCTTGTACCAGTTTTCAAATGCATTGTCAGTATTTAAATAATGATGAATTAATTAATTTAAAGGCACTGAATATATCAATGCATGACTAATTTTAAGGGAATGATACTGTGCTTCCAGTTGAGTTTTGAAAGACTGCGATTTCATTGTGCTATTCTTCTTGGAATAAAGTGCAGACCTGCAAAAAATACTTATCATAGAATTATACAATATCCTGAGTTGGAAAGGGCTCACAAGGATCATCCTGTCCAACTTCAAATTCTTAGAGAAGGTCCAGGTCATAAACTGAGTGCTCTTAGAGAAGTTTCAAGTTCTTCTGAAATAAAATGCTGTTTTCAAATACTGGTCTTTCAAAAGGTTCCTGTGTGATAATAACACCAGTCAAATGAGCTAAGCTTCCTAGATTAAATTTACGGGTACTAATAGAGCAACAGTAGTTTTCAAATAATGATTTTGAGCTGATACTCTGCTGACAGAGCTGGTTTTTATTCCTTGAAAGGGAAGCTTTTCTTAGCTAGCCTATCTTATTGGAATGAGTTGTTGTTTTTAACTGTGAAAGCTGGTTGGTCAGCTCAAAGTCTTAAGGACTGGTGAATTTATTTTTTAGCATTGCTTGTCAGTTTTGTAGTCTTTTACTTCTGCAAAGGATAAGTGTGGGCAACTGCAGTGCAGTTATCTTCCAATCCATCCTTCTTCAATTTCAGAATTTGATTTAAAGATACCATGGTATGGCCTGTCTCTGTTTCTTTGCTCCCAGCTCTTTGATGTCTTTGAGGTTGTTATCCTAATTTCAATCTCAAAGCCCCATCCTAATTCCCACTTCTCTTGCCATGCAGCCTAGAAGCTCAAGCCTCCCACCGATTTCTGCTGTGGTTGTTTGTGGAGTGCTTAAAAAATCATTTTTTGAGAGGAGACTGATGAACCTTTTGAAGGTTCAAATAATAATTTGTTTTGATGATTAAAAATACCCGGATATATATGTGGCTGCATTATTTAATTACGAAACCATGGCTATTGTTTGGTATAGTGGGGAATACTGAAAATAAGGCAGTTAGCCTTGGGGGAGAAAAGACAACTTGAAAGAAGAGACTTGCAAAGGCTAGCACTTAATTGCCACAGTTACTCTGAATATATAAATTATTCTCTGTCCTAAACATGAAAGATGTTTTATTGCACAATATTAAAACTGCTGTTGGGAGAACTTCACAGAATTGGTCATAAACCACGCTACCATGTACCACTAGTCCAGACAAATGGCTCTCCCCACCTTGATACTGCATTTATTGCTCAGGAATGTCACTGATAAAAAAGAAGCTGTCTTTGTTCTCGATGGCTGTTCCTGTGTGGTACCTTAACCATGTTATGTTTCATTTGTTCGCAGGGTAGCCCTCATTCCTTGAGAGTCCACCAGGCACTGGATGCTGTGGTGAACCATGGCAGCTGATGATAAGGTTGCCATTCTAACCGATGATGAAGAAGAACAGAAGAGAAAGTATGTGCTTGCTGATCCTTTTAATGGCATTTCCAAGGATCAAGACTTGCCACCCAATAATGAATCCCCTTCGACGGAGACAACCACTGTCCCAGAAGAAGAGCTGGATTGGTTAGAAAAGCACTGTGTCAAAATAAACAACGATCTCCTGATCTCAAAGGTCTTTTATTTTTTCTTCTATTCTGCATATGGCTCTCTCTACCCCTTGCTGCCCGTGTATTACAAGCAGCTGGGTATGTCACCCAGCCAGAGTGGGCTTCTGGTGGGCATCAGGTACTTTATTGAGTTCTGCAGTGCTCCCTTCTGGGGAGTGGTGGCAGATCGCTTCAAGAAAGGCAAGATCGTCCTCTTGTTCTCGCTTTTGTGCTGGGTTTTATTTAACCTGGGGATTGGGTTTGTGAGACCAGCCACCTTAAGGTGTGTACCAAAGGGCCTTCCCCCAGCACACCCCACCAACGCAAGCAGCCTTTTGACAACAGTTTCCCAAAACACCTCGGTGTCCTCTCCGCTAACAACAGCGAGTGCTGCATCCCCGAACGTTCGCAGGAAGAGAGACCTGCTCACTTCCAGTCCAGTCACTTTGGAAACAACAGGGACAGCTAATCCTGAAATAACATTCCTGTCACCTACACAGAGCAGCAATGTGGATTTTATCTTGGAAAACAGTACCCATTTGATTTTGAAAAACACCACCACTAGCCCAGCCTCACCAGGGAACGCAACTCCGAGCACCAGCCCAGCTGCCATCACCACAAAGCCAGCGCCTTCTGACCAAGCTGTGCTCGTTTATGATCAACAAGAAGTAGAGGCCATCTTCCTACTCATTCTGCTGGTTGTCATAATAGGAGAATTTTTCAGTGCTTCCTCTGTTACTATTGTGGACACCATAACTCTGCAGTACCTTGGCAAACACAGGGACCGGTATGGATTGCAGCGTATGTGGGGGTCTCTGGGCTGGGGGCTGGCCATGCTCTCCGTGGGAATTGGCATTGACTATACCCATACAGAAGTTAGCATTGAAGGTCAAGGATGTAAAGCTCCTGAGTACAAGAACTACAGGATTGTCTTCATTGTTTTTGGTGTCCTGATGACAATGGCGTTAATTGTGGCCACCCAGTTCCGGTTTCATTACGCGCACTTCAAGCAAGATGAAAATAAGAGAAAAGAGGTAGAAATCTCACAGGTAGACAGAAATGCCTCCAACGAATCCTCGGATAACACTCCTACCAGTGTGAGCCAGTCGCAGTCTTTCAGTTTTTGGGACCTAATAAAACTGCTGTGTAGTATCCAGTATGGCTCCGTGCTCTTCGTGGCATGGTTCATGGGGTTTGGATATGGCTTTGTGTTCACCTTTCTGTACTGGCACTTGGAAGACCTGAATGGCACCACCACTCTCTTTGGAGTTTGTTCTGTGCTCAGTCACGTGTCTGAGCTCACTGCCTACTTCTTCAGCCACAAGCTCATTGAACTGGTTGGTCACATCAGGTAAGATGGTAGCAATCATTAAAGAGCTGTACAAAAAATGGTGATTCTCAGGCTCACCCTTGTGCTACAAAGTGAAATTCAAGCTAATCCTTTTTTTTTTTTCCCCTTAATTCCAAATCCTGTTCAGTTGCGTGGCTCATGTGACGGAGTTTCTGTTATTTTAGGAGTTGAAAATGCTCTGACATGCTTCCTTTGTGTTTGAATTGCGTGTTAGTATGTGCTTTATGCCTGACATCGTAGCCTCTTGCAGATGGTTCCAGGAGACATCCTAGTTCCCTGATGCAGTGCTGTGTTAGAGGTCTTTACAAACTGCCACCCACTTAAGGGTTGTCTGTTTTGACATATAAATACCATTAATTTTTCAGTTTTTTCCCCGTGAGTAGCAGCATTCTGGACACCTCCTGCTTTAGCCTGCTTCCCCTTGCAGGGCAGTTCTTTGCCCCCACAGTAGCCTGGAAAGGTGTCAGTTGCAGGCTGAGAGGGGAGAAGGATGAGATGAGGAAATGAGGTGAGCACCTCCTGTGCACATGGCCTGGTAATCAGACTCTGGGTGTTGGCAGAATGAGGTTGCAGCCTGGCAGTGTCACTTAACCAGTTCAGGGCTTGCTCTCCTCCTTTAGTTGCAGCTACTGAAGCGAGATGGCTGCAGGGCTCCTCTTGTAGTTTTTGCCTTGTGTAAGTGAGACTGACTGCTTCCAGAACGTTGTGAACGTTGTTTTCCACTAAATTCACAATTGACTTAATTTCTACATGTTCTAAATCTCTTCATGACTCTTTAAAAAAAGCTCAGGGGAGGAAAGCTAGGGGGGGAACTAAGTTAATGAAGTCATAAAGATGAGGTTTTTTATATTTACTGAGGTGCTTCGTGCAACTGAGCACAGACTTCTTTGTGTTGTTAGCATCATATGCTTTCCAAATACCCAGTTTATAATTATACACTCATTGAATTGTAAGTATTTTTAAACTGTTTCCGCTCTTCTTTTTGTACATTTTGTTGTGTGGTTTTTGTCTTTGTTTTGCCTTTATTGGGTTTAATTTTTTTATTCATTTGACCTCTACTAGAAGTGTGTGAGATGCTTAGCACAGTAATTTGAGAGATTACTTAAACAATGTGGGTTTTTTTCTTACTTTAAACTGAGGAGGAACTCTGCTTTGAGTCAGTCTTCTAATCCCTGGATTTGACAATGATTAGTAACAGAAAATGGCATCTTGCATGCAAAGACTGGAGGAAGGGCATGATGATGGAGAAGTGGTGAGAAGAGATCAGTCTTGATAGCCAAAGGTAGCTTGGGTATGCTCTTTCCATGTATGTTGTTATAGTACAAAGTTCAGGCTTAGACTTCAACTAAAGAAAGAACGAAAACTGAAGAGTGGTAGGGTTGTAAATAAGATGAAATGGAAGGGGTAGGAGTGTTGGCCAGTGAAAGGAAGGATGAGAGGATGAGGTATGGGATTAACTCTCCCTTTTTCTTTTTTTTTTTTCTCGCACCGTTAAACCTACGAAGTCAAGACTGGATCGAGATTAAATTGTTCTAGTTCCTATTTGCCATGAAGCAGCATTCTTTATACCTACACCTGGGAAATGCACATTAGTCATATTTTAATGTTATCCAATGCTTACTTGTATTTAATCATCACAGTCTGAGATATCTCCTCCTGGTTGTTTCTGTTCTTGTACTTTCTGAACCTCTTATAATGCACGGTGTGTTGAGAGGAGTCATATTCTTTGATAGTTCTGTACCTGTCTTGACTGCTGCCTTGTAGTACAGGTATTCATCATCCCAGTAATAAAGGCCAGTAGCCTCCAACTGTGTATCCTTCTTGGAACAGTCTTAGCTGAAGCATTTGAGATCGGTATTCTGTTGTTTGGGTGGGTTTTTTTGTTTAATAGCTCAGAATTCCTTTCTTCTGGGTTGTTAGACTGGATGTAGACAGTCTTTCTGCAGTATTTACTTGAACGTTTATCATTCAGTCTTTCTTTCTCATCCAAATTGTTTGAAGACAGGCATGAGTATTAGCATTGCATGCACTGTCACAGTAGCAGAAGAAAGCTGTTGACTGTCCTTTATAGAACTAAAGAAAATAGTCTTTACACCTTATCAGACAGAAACTCAGTTTCCCTTTTTGAGCCTTGTGAAGCTTTCTGTTTCTACCATTGTATGTGTTGGCACATAAGACCCTTAAAACAGTCTGAGACCTATTCTGTTTTACAGTTTTTTTTGACTAACACATTATTGCCCAAGCATTTTAAGCATGACCATATTAAATATGTGTTGATTAAAATGCCCAGTTTCTGGCTTCACTAGCTGTGCTGTTCATACACTTGTTAACTGCATGTGTGCATATGTTGTGCATGCTTCTAGTGCTTCTTTGAGAGGATATTAGGAATAAATTCTTTACTGTGAGGGTGGTGAGGCTGGAACAGGTTGCCAGACAAGCCCTGGATGCCCCATCCCTGGAAGTGTTCAAGGCCAGGTTGGATGGAGCTCTGAGCAACCTGGTCTAGTGAAACATGTCCCTCCCTCCCAGGTCTCTTCCAATCCAAATCATTCTATGATGTTATGATACTAGGACAAAAAAGGGTACAAACCTGGCTATCAGATATTTAGTCCCCATTGTTGAATGTCACCATGTAGAAACACTCAGAACTGCCAGTGACTTTAGGAAGATGATGTTAAGCTCTGAAAATAACCTCCTACTTGAGGTTAAACTTGAATGTGTTTGTCTGACCACAATTCCAGCATGTGTTTTTATGGGAGGTAGAGGCTGGTAGTCATGGCTGTAAACAGCTTAGTCTCCTTAACATAAATATAGATTCAGTGCTCTAAATGTTTAACGTGGGAATTGAATATGGTGTCCCTATGGATACTGCATTTAGGGTTCCTAAGGTCAATCTCTTTACATTTTCCATGTAGGTCTGATAAAGAGTCTAAATGATTATTATAAATACATTTTTGAAAGGACTCTCTAAATACACAAAAATTTTTGTGACTTACCCCTCCAAAACCATAATTATAGAAATTTTCATAAACTGTAATTTACCTGAAACTCTGTGCATATTCTGACAAATTAAGAGGCAGAAGTTGACTAAATTGCCGCTCTTAAACTTTGAATCCAAATCTTTCTGCAAATGTAACATGTCAGAAAAGCACAGGTAGGTGAGTGTGTTAGTAGGGATGGAGAAACTGAAGCAGAAGACCACTTCTCTGGTGTAGCTGTGATAGGGAACAGCTGAGATGGGAAGAAAGTTCATGGTGAAAAGACAAAGTTTTTGCTAGATGAAAGTGAAGTTAAGCTGTCAAGAATAGGTCCTAAACAGAGCACTGGGCACATCTGTGCTGCTGATGAGGAAAAACAAGTGTTATGGGTACAAGTATTTGTATCCCCAAGAATGTGCATCACTCTGGGCCTTTCTAGTAGGGGAATGAAGACAGGACCCTGCAGACCTTACATGTTTTTGGCCAGAGTGTCCTAATACACTTCAGAAATGTGGTTGTACATAAGAACTACATTAAGTTGTGGCTACAAAAGGAACCAAGTTATTTGTTTGGAACAGAAGGCATTAATTAAAAATGAGATGAAATTTATGATGCATGGCACAAAGAACAAGTTTGTTCTCTTTATTGTATAATAGCAAACTTTTTCATGGCTTCCCATGTTTTCTTCCATGAATGCTTGGGCTTGTGTTGCCTAAAGGCAGCTTAAAGCAGCTATTCGTGGACCTCACACGTATCTGGAAGCAGCAGAGCTTGGTTTGATGTGTGACTGGGAGGGGACAACTTCCTGCAAACTTACCCCACTTGTAGAAAGTAAATTCATGTTGTTGTGAAACGCATGGACCTGTCTCTAGAATTTTGAATGTTTTTGATATCACTGACATGATGAAAACTGTGGTACTGGTTTTTTTGCTGTCAACACGTGTATTTGTGTTAACAAGATGCTGCATTTTTGTGATTGTGTTTCACTCTAGATTTTCAGTGGCTCTGGACCATTGAATAAAATCTGTCTGCCTTTCTAGAATAAATAACTAAAAAAGCAGCAGAAAGAATAATGAGCCCCTTCCCAGTATCTGTGCTTCACCTTGATTATCAATTGAATTTATTTCACTTATGCTGAACCACGGGTCAACCAAGAGGCCATGTTTGAACAATAAATTATCCTTGTCCCCGAAAAAAAATCTTCAAAGATTGCAGTAGCATCTTTTCTCAGGCTGTAAACATGTTTTGAATTAAGTCTTTGTTTCCTAAGATCCATCTAAAAATAAGAGAAAGATAGCTGGATGAATGAGCACCCTGGAGGGAAGCTATGCTAAATGGGCAAACTGGAAGGGAAAAAGTCATCAGGTTAAGTGTACAGTGGGAAATGCACTGCACAAATAGTTTTTGTGTTTCATTGGTTAAAAAATGTTGTAAGAGCTTTTTTTCCTCCAAATTCTGAGATGCAGCATCTGCTGCTTTTCAACAGGATGGTTAAGTTTTATCCTGAGGCATGTTGTTATAAACCATATTGCTTCTGTGGGATGTGTTTTAGAGTGATTCTGAGCAGTTCTCAGATACTGGGACTATAAACTTATATTAATTGGGGTAAAATTAATTCCTTTAATACAAACCTGCTCCAGGCTTACACTGAAATGGCAGAATGAACCTCTGGATGATTAGAAAATAAGATTGTTTGGAAACAAATGCGCTTACAAATGGTCCCTCTGAAATACAATCCTGCGCAGAGCCTGGCATGGAACTACAGAGCTTAGTTAAAAGCTCAGTGGATCTGCTGTCTCTTTGATTTTGGTTTTTTTTCCTATTAGAATTTTGAATTTGTGTTTGGAACAGGCAAGAGGAGAGTTTATGTTTGGATGTAGGACATAAGGATATATTTTGTGTTGAGCAAATGCTTCAGACTGGCAAACTGCACACATGCAAATAACTTCTGAACCAGTAAGCTATATTATAACATGCCAGAAAGGGAAAGTGCAAACTGTCCTGACTTCTCTTTTCCTTACTTTCTTTAGAGTGCTTTACATTGGTCTTGCCTGTAATACAGCACGATATATCTACATCTCCTATCTGGAAAATGCCTGGACTGTTCTTCCGATGGAAGTACTTCAAGGTAAGACAGCTCAGTGATGACCTCTCAGTATGATGTGAGGTGCTTCCATTTATCTTGTTTTCAAGTGAACTGTGCTTGAGTAAAAAATTCAATATTTCTCTATTTTTTTGGCCACAAATGTCCCAGAAGACACATGCTCATAAAGCACATAAACCATTACTGTTTATCTTGGGAAATATTTGACGTCAAAAGGGAGGGTGTGCATTTGATTGTGCACAGTTCTCTGTTTATTCAAACAGAACTGTGTGAGACCAACACACCCTTAAACTAAACAAAGGGACTGCAAATCCTGTTTGGTGATAAATGTGAACTTCATTAAACGTGAAAGGTTGTGGTTCTTGAAAGGATGCCCTTAAAAAAACCCGAACATAGTCGGAGTCGTTGTCTCTCTTGAAATATTTTGTAGTTTTTCAGTGGTATTGTTCAGTCAATACTTGTGAATTATAGATTTTTTTCTTTTAATAGCTAGAGAGGAACTTCTTTCAATAGCTTTCTTTGTGCTAATAGAGCTTCTCTAAGATACTTGCCCTTTCACTGTCTTATTGAGAAGGACAGGGGTGTGGTCTGTGAAAAGTAATTTGAGCCCTCTTGTCAAGTCCTGTTGTAGAAGAAGTCTGCAAGACCTTCGTTGCAGTGTTAAAGGATAAATTGTTCCAACTTAGATTTTATGACCTTTATTTTTTGTCTTTGGGGCGGGTACCACTTCTGAAAACCATGAAAATCGTAACTATTTTACTTTCTGTTTCTTCAGTATATGAAGTATACCATTTTTTACCATCTTTTTTAAGCCAGTATTTTGGATTTGTACAACAATATTTAGAAACTTTTCCACAGATTATGCTTAGAAGTTTTATTCTTCTATCTGCAGCACAAGTTTAATTTAAATATTTCTATATTTACAGAAGTCTTTATAAGCTAGATTTTAACCTGAGTTATAAAATGCCTTTAGAGAGTGATATGTAGATCTCTGTGTACACATAGAAAGAGATGTGTTTGTGTCCTGACTCCTTACCCTCCCAGTTAATAAAACAGTTTATCATATTAAAACTGTCACAACATCAAGCTTCTGAATTTTTTATTAAAAAATTCTTGAATCACAACTATTGAATTGATACTTCACTGTTCCTACCAAGTGTTAAAATAGGAAAATGTTACAAAGAACCTGAAGAGTGTATGTGTTTTATACTCTTGCCTGCTTAAACATCAAGGGAAAACAAATGATGAATACAAAGTTTTGGATGTTGCCTTCTAGGTAATCTTGTTTTAAAGATATCCCAACTCAAAATATAGGAAAAAAAAATTGTGGTTTCAACAATACAGGCATATGCTTGTGTCTGGAAGCATCCTGTAAGTCATGACTGGGAAAGAAGTTTCTTTTACTTTGAATGTGGTTTTTATTCTGCTGAAATTTCAATATGAATTGCACAATACGTAGGTTTGCCTTTACAGCAAGGCTGTGAGGGAGCTGTTTTGGTGGGGTTTTTGTGTGGCACAATCTCAAGTAATTGAAATTCAAAGAAAAAACTAAGGACCTTCAAAATAATCCTTTCTCATAAATGTATCTGCCAGACTTTATCATATTTGGGCACTGCTGAATCATGTACTCCTTGGTTAATCTGGCTGTTTGCAGTTATTTACAGTCAGCAAATGAGAAAGTTCAAACCAAACCCACCCACACACAGATAACTTCCCCCCTCTGGCCCCCAGGTTTCTGTGTTCTGTGTGCACTTTCAGCCTGCAGCAAACATCACTTGTTAGTGTCCATGAAGTCTACAGGTGCCCTGTATGTGTGTCTGACCACTGCCACTGCATTTGTTAGATTCCAGTCATCTCATTCAGTGTTGGCAAATGGGAGATCAGGGTTATCTTTTTAGAAGTACCGTTGACTTCCCTCCCCTTTTATTCATTTCCCTTCCCGCTCTTTCCAGTTTTCATCTGTTATTGATTCATTATTTCTTTTGCAGCAGTTCCAAGTCCTGTTTCTTTGGGCTCTGCTCTTCTCTCTTACATAACCGCTGAATATGTTGTTAGTGGTAAGAAGTGACACCTTAATGAAATTTGGTGAGGTGGAAGCTCTTATTTTTAAGTGAACTTGTTGACAGAGAGAAGTAATAGTTGTAGCTCCTTTCCCTATGTAAGGATTAGAAGTATTTAAAAAGAGTAGATTGTGCAGATCATGTGGGAACTACGTGGGCCACATGGCTGCATCAAGTTGATGGGCCTTTGAAATCCCTCAGTGAAGTCCTTGTTCTAATCGCACATAACTTTTTTCCAGTAAGCTGTCAAATTCTATGTAGATTCCAGTTCCATCAGCTCAAGGGGTTTTAAGGCTAAAAAAAGTTTCAGCTGACTTCTGTAAAAAATTTATTTTTCTTTTTAATATGTTTCTGCAATACAAGCAGGATTATCCCCATGTGCTGTGCTGAAGGGCATGAGACATTTCTGGAAGATGACTCCGCAGACTGCGTGTATTGATTGTAATAGGAACCAAGCTGTGTCTCAGCTGCTGTCTGTAATGGGGATGGGGACAACTCCTTAAGTGCATTGCACTCTCAAAGGAGTAAATGAGGAGATTTAAACTCCCTTCTTAATTTAGAGTTTTGAACCACTGTGCTGTATGGCACTGGCAATGTATGAAAAGAAGCGCTAAGGCTGAATCTGTAATAACTGTAAATTTCAAGTCATCCTTGTAGGCAAATATGTGCAGTGTATCTATCTATGTCATCAGTCTGCAAGCACACAAGCAATCTTGTTCATTCTGCACCTAGAGGATGAAGTTTTGTTATGCTAGTTAGCTGCAGCTTAGTGTTCCAGAGCATTGCTCTAGATTCTCTGGTAACAGCTCTGCTAGCACACCAATTTGCATAACAGGAATTTTCTTAATTGCAAAACTATATTGTTAACCTGAAAATTCAGTGTTTTCACTTGGCAGTTACTCAGCAAACTCCAAAACAAGTACTGTTCTAAGAAGTGACTCCTACTGATGCTCCAGCAACACAGGGATGCCTAGAGAAAAAAGAGCTTCAGCCTTTAGCTGGCGATAATTATGATATATATTTATCTTGAAATAAATTGGGATCCCAAAATCTTCAGTTCATGGTTTATATATAAATTATCCTAAATTTGTTGAACATTATAAGCATAACACTAGGATTGTTAACATTTGTTGGAACTGTAATCCAAATGATGAAATGGTGGTTAGTGGTTTTAGCAAATAATGTCACAATACATATGTTGTGAGCAACTTCTTTTAAAAAGAATTGTGGTTAGCAGTAATCTAGACCAGACTTCTTATACAAGTTGTTGTAAAAACTGTTCCAAATAGTCACTGTTGTATAAATAATTATAATAAAAATCACATTAGTAATATACACATACTAAAAAAAAAAAAAAAGGCCGTACCTTTAAAGACAAGTGAAGTAAGGTAGTTTAAAGGTATGGACTTGTTTTCAGAGGAGCTGGGAACACTATGTTCTAACTAGACTGCCTAGAAAAGGTGAAAACATCCAAGAACCTGTTGGTTAAGTTATGGCCTTTTGTGTTCAGACAAACTCAGTGGTATTGTGCTTCACGGTTCAAATCATTTCTGATATGTTTTTGATTTGCCTGGCTTTAAATCTTGACTTACTCCTATAAGCTGATAAAACTGCCTGTTTTATGTTAGTTGGTGTACTTTCTAAACCAAAACCACTTTATCTATTTAGATTAGCTTTGCATTGTTATTGGGGCAGTTCTTGGTTGCTTTTTGCGATGTGGGCACGGAACTGCATTAAAAAAAGTAGGTGTACTCACTGAGTTTTAAAACTCCTAAGCTTTTTGCAAGGAAAATCTGTGACTTTTGAAGCCTTAAACTTAAATGGTAAGGTAATATACACTCACCTTAATGCACGCTTTTGGTTTTTCAACAAGGTGATGTACGATTACCAAAACACCCCTGTATCTCTCATCTTTACAAACTCAAGGCTTGAGAAATTTTGATTTGGAATGAAGTTGACCTGTACAGCACTTCACATAGTGCTATTTATCATTGTACACCTAAGCAAAATCCAAGTTATTTTGTGTGTTACAAAATTATGTTTTATTGCTCTTAAGACTCTTCAGCCTAAAAGCCGAAATAATTATTGAGTGTCCAACTGTTCACTTAATAACTGAAGTACAGGGGACAGAAGCACGTTGACTGAATCACCAGTTGTGCCAACATTTTTTTTAAAGCTGAGGCAGTAGAGCTTAGGCATTGGTAAGCTGTGATGACTATTTTTAATACCTCTCAAATAAGAAAAAAACATTCCCACTCAATCTGAGGGTGGCAAAATAGTTCAGGCTTATTTTTAATGTGTGACGAACTACAAAACTGTTTTGTTTTTCCAGCTTCTGCACAATCCTGCCTTTCCCTGTCCAGTTATTCCCCAGCCTACAGAAGCCCCTCAGGCAGATGCTCAGAGGCGAGGGCTCCACCTGCAGCCAGTCTCTGCATGCTGAGGGTCATGTGCTGTCCTTCCCTTAGCTCTCCTGCCGGAGGGAAGGGTGTTCACAAACCTGAATGTGCCAGGCATGTGCTGGAAAGATACCTCCAGCATCTCTGCTGAGGAGCTGGGGCTGTCTCTGGTTCGTGGCTGTGGTTGATGAGTGAGGAGCCCCGGGCTCGGTCCTGGAGCGGGAGTGATGAGGCGGAGGCGGCGCAGTGCCCACGCAGGATGCAGGATGCAGTCACAGCGGGAGGGAGTGCTCGCCGGCTCTGCCTCTCAGCAGCAGGCGTGAAAAGCAACATCCCTGGCCTACTCTGAGGAGCTTGTGTGCTGTTCTCATCCGGACTGTTCAGTGCTAAATGCAGAGCGTGTTGGTGTTGAGTTCAGAAAGAGTTTGCTGGGAGGCGATGGGTTTTTGGGGGGAGTGAGAAGGGTAGGAGGGGATTCATTCTTGCTTGTGAAATGACATAGATATCTCTGATACAGTTTGGATTTTATGACCTTTGTTCTGCCTTCATTGTGGCAGTAAGGAGACTGCTGAGAGATATCAATGCTTTAATTGCCTGCAGCTTGTGGAATCAGGACTGTATTCCAAAGGCCCTGGGCCGCTTCTGAAGGCAGAAGGAATCTGGCAGAGACTTGTCTTCCTATGGACTGTGTCTCAAGAAGAGTGGTGAGGTCATCTTAGAGGGACAAAGAACTATTGCCAGACTGCAGAAGGAGTTGTACTGTCTCCCTGAGGCTTGGTTGCCAGTATCTCATTACCAAACACTGATTTGTACTTTGCAGACATTTCTCAGGGGATTTTGTTTTTCTCCATGTGCTCCAGCTGATGAGTGCAGTGGCTCAGATGTTGTGTTGGGACGCTCTGGGCCTGGTACTCTTGGCAGTGTTTTATCTCTGCAGGTGTCACACACGCAGCTATATGGGCAGCTTGTATCTCGTACCTCAGCGCGGCTGTGCCTCCAGAGCTGAGGACATCGGCCCAGGGAATCCTGCAGGGTCTCCACTTGGGTCTGGGTAGAGGATGTGGAGCCATGGTTGGAGGAGTTTTGGTCAATTACTTTGGTAAGGACAAACTGTATTGAAAAATTTCATTTTATTTATTTGGTTTTACTGAACTGTCGGCTTTAAACTTATTTATGCTTTAGGTATTGTTATACTTTAAAGTGTAGTACACTTTTTATGAATCACAGTCATAGAACTGCTCAGGCTGGAGAGGGTCCTGAAGTCTTCAGTCCAGGCCCCTGATCAAAGCAAGGTCAGCACTGCATTCAGACCACAGTGCTTATGGCTTTGTCCTGTCAGTGTTGCAGGTTCATTAAATATGTTATGCCTAGATATCTTTAGTATTGTGGAAGCAAATCTCCAGCCTGATCCATAAGTAAGATGAATGAATCCTTTGTGAGAGAACAGGTTGATGCTGTAAAGCCTCTCGATGAACAAATGAGAATCTAATTACTTGGTTAAAAATCCTTTGCAAAAATACTTGGTTGAAGCAGTGTTGGGGAGGAAAATGTAATGAAACAAACTAATAAGAGGCTACATGGGCAATATATAGCCAGGGAGCACATAATGCTGACTCATTTTATTAAGTAAATAGATTCTCAATTTAGAAAAAAATACATCTCATTACAGGTCCTGCTGCCACATTCAGAGGAATAGGGATGGCTTGTTTAGTGATTCTGCTTCTGTTTGCCCTGATCCAGTGGCTGTTGGTTCCTGATGAAGAAGAAGGTAAATGTTCATGTCACTGAGACGCTACAAAATTAGAGCTAGTGAAGAAAGATCTCTCTGAAGCTGCTTCTGCAGCTTTCATTTTGTATGATGGTGTCTTAACTCAGATTTCAACAAAAGAGTTTGTTTTCAAGTGGGGAGTTTTTTCCTGAACAATGAAGAAATTGATGTGCTACTGCTGTAAGAAGGGCAGCACAGAGTTCTTGAATGTTGATAGAAGGAAAACATGATGTATTTTTCTGCCTGTACATCCTCTCAGTTCTGGGAATCCCTTAGGTTGGTCTTTACAGCTGTACTGAGTCATTTTAGTTCCATCCATTCTTTAAGGTCACCTCGATCCCACTCTGTGCTCTCATGTTCTACCAGTCGAAGCCACCAGCCAGAAACTGTAGAGATGGCTTTCACAGGACACAAACTTCTATGGGTTTTTTAAACCTGGGATATCTCCTTTCTGGTGGAACTTGAACTTTTTAATCTCTACCTTTATTAATATAAAGGCTAACCAGAAATAAAATACTTGGTGCAAACTTAAGGAACTAGCATAAATAAGATTCTTACAAAGACAACAAAACTCTGGCAAGTTCTGAAAGGTCATGAATTTTTGATCTGTTTTTACCCAGATATTACTTTCCAGTATGAGCTTCGAGTATGACAAGAAAGTTTTTTTAGCTGAAATATTAAATTAATTCCCCTTGACTAGTTATCAGGTTCCCTGTACTGAAGTGTTCAAATATTTATTTTGCTAGTATTTTCTTCACCTCTGTCCAAATAATAAGGGCAAAAAAATGGAAAGCGAAAGGGGTATTTGCTGCTTCAGTTTCCCATCAGCATTTACTTAATTACATGTGAACCTACAAAAGACCAGGGTGTTCATAGTGGCCTTATTCTGTTTGTTTCTGTCTTTGGGTTTCATTGAATACTCACTACCCATCTGAACAGTGTGTGTGTTAATTTTAAGCATGACAGTAATTAGGCTGCTTTCACGCAGACCAGTTGGATGAGTAAAATGAAGCATGTGGTCAAGTGTGTGCAGGATTAGTCTGCATTTCTTCACTCCTAGGGAACACCCAACCCTTGCTTAAAATAGCCAGTACTATCTAGGCATTTGTAAACCAAATATGATTTTATGATTTTGAAAAAAAAAAAAAGTATTTTTAATTGGTAAAATATTTTTACTTGGAAAAATATTTTTTTCAAACTTTGCATAATGTGTTGTTTACAGAGAGCATACAGCTATTACTGAAAACATCCCTCAGTTTCTAACAATCTGCTTAATTACTTTTTGGATAGAAATACTCTGGCTCTCTGAAGCTTTAAAGCACGTTGTGTGGGGTCATGACAGTCGTTTTGTCGATGACATTTCAAGACAGTTATGAAAACTATTACAGTTTATTGGGAGACCTCAGATGTAAAGGTCTCTTCAGAGGATTTCTTCCTTTACCTGAAACTCTTTGACAGATACTTCGTCTCCTTCAGTGTGTCACTGTCCTTGTTCTTTTCTCATGAACTGTATAACTCCATAGTAACTATGAAGGGATGTTATTTCCTTAACAAAAAAGGTGGTTAAGATGCAGAACAATTTTTTCATTCAGATTGGTATGTTTAGAAGTTTTAAGATCAGCAATGATGATGTTGGCCATGTCTCTTCACTGGCTTCTCGTTTGAAGGCAGTGTTTAATTCTGAGTATGGGTAAGTTGTAAGATGCAGGCTTTATGCAGAGAAAGAAGTTTGCTACAAGTCTGGAAGACTTATTTTCAGTTTGCATGTAACATGAAAATTACTTCTTCCATGTAATGTGAAAACAGGAATTTCTAGTGGCTAACTGAGAACAAAAGGACTATTCCACACTCTTCAGCCCTCCAGTGTGGGCAGACATCTGACATCCCTCAGTGGCACAGCCCCTGAGCCTGTGAGGCAACAGCCACGTTGCATGTCCCTGACTAGACTGTGGTGTGTGGCTCCTGGCTGCTTTCAGGGTGGTGATGACCATAGTGTGAAAGCAAGAAACACTTTGTGTTCATTGTCTGCATCAGGGTGTTTTTTTTTTAGCTTGTTGGCATTGCCAGTGATTATTTTGTTTTAAACTTCAGAAAAGACAATGCTGGCAGAAAGGATCCCAGTGCCTTCCAGTCCTGTTCCCATAGCAACTATTGACCTTGTACAACAGCAGTCGGAAGATATCATGCCTCGGACTGAGTCCAGACTCCCTCTAAAGAAAACTAAACACCAAGAAGAGCAGGAGGATGTGAACAAGCCTGCCTGGGGCATCAGCTCTTCTCCATGGGTCACCTTAGCTTATGCTGTCTACCAGATAAAAGAGATGGTTAAACTATCCAAAACCAATCCAGCTCCTGAGAATCAGCCTTTGCAGGTAATCTTTTAATGTGCAGGAAGCACATTTTAGATGCTTGAACACTGTATAGCTATGTAAATCTGTTATTACCTGGAAGGTATTTTCTGTCAGCTTGTAATACAGCTGGACTTGCGACACAGTAGTTAAGATACTGTATGAAGTAGAGTTGTTTTCCATGTATAATACAGCAGGAATACCTATTTCTTGCAAGTTTTATCTTTCTGAAGATGGGAGGAGAGGAAGAGACATAGAAAGAGGCTCTGTTTTATGGATTCAGATATACTTGAATTACCTTAAAATTTACATTTCTTTTCATATTAGGTGGAATGTGTGAGTTACACATTTTGCAAAATTTACAAGGTGATAATTGAACACGAAGATGCACAGCTGGTTAACACTGTAAAATGATTTTTATTTAGTTTTGCTTCCTTGGGTGATGCTGTCAAACATCTGCATGGTTGCAGAAATAGGTGTTCCAGGCAACTCCTGATGGGATACAGAGCCTTCTTTTCAAATAAAGTTAATCTCTCTTTTATCTAGAGTACCCCCAGATAAGAGCCATCTAAGATAAGATTTAATATGTCTGATGGCTGGTGCTTACTTTACACCATTCCCCTTCTGTCCAGTCTCCCCCAGGAAATGTTTGTAATAGCTTCACTGGTGGTTGGATATGCTTGGATCTTGAACTTGTAATGCTCTGGCCCTGCCTTTCAGACTGGAGCTGAAGCAAAGTAGGGAAGCTCTGTCCATGCAAGTTCTAGAACAGCACGGTCAGTGTCAAACCCACTGTGTTTACTTGTCTGGAAGGGGTGGGTGAGGTGCTTTCTCATGCACCCGGTAGGCGTAAACACAGAAATGCTTCTTCCATAATTGCTGTCTTTAGAAATGGGTAATTTGGGATATGAGAGTGAATCAGCAGAGCAGAGCGTGTAGGAATTTCACCTGGTCAGTGATCTCCTGCCTTCCTTACTTGACTTTATTCTTGAAAATATGTTACAGGCTTGTCTGCTTTAGGTTGGTTGGGTTTTTTAGTTGGTTTTGACCTTCCCAGAGTCAAAGAATGTGAGTTTTTAGTAGTGATACTGAAGATATCAAAAGGTCTCAGGATATCACAAGGACATCAAAGTAATTTGCCCAGTTTAATTGCTCCATTTCCCACTGTAAATGTCCTCAGGGTCTTGGTTAGTGTAAGCTGCCCCCTGATGAACCAGAGAAGTCACACAGAACGCAGGCAATTTACACTGCAGGAAAATACTGTTTTGCAGGTATGTGGTGTCTGAGAGTGGCTTATCCAACACTGCTGAACAGCACCCAGCCCCTTCCCTGAGAACTGTGAAGAGACCAGAAGGGCTTTAGTGCCTGTCCTCTATGGCACATGATCTCTTCATTATTCTTTTCTTCCTGTAAAAATACAATGCTGATATAAAAGCACTTTGTGTGCCAAAAGTTAATGCACCACATTGTATCATTTACTTCATCACCTCTGTTCTCCAAAATCTCTTATTCCTGTGTCAGGTGCCCCAAGATGACAAACTTGCTCCAGTATATTTCAGGTTTTGTACTCAGTCATTTATTTTAGGCTGATGATATTAAAATACTGAAACTAGGAAGAAAGGCTGCCTGGCTTTCTTATTAAATTTGTTAAATAACTTCCTTAAAATGAAAATGAATCATTTGGAAGGAGGGTCAGTGCACAGCGAATTAGTGACAAAAATTATTCCTTCTTATTCCATTAAAATTTTGGATTGATTTTGCTTCTGCTTGCTTAGACTCCTTCAAACAAAGGGACATGCTGGCCATAATTTCTATGCTTCAATGCAAAACAAATAATCATAGGTAGTGTATCACCTTCTAATGAAATGTATTAGCATGAGCACTTGCTGTTTCAGTCCTGGGGAATGTAACCAGTGTTCAGATGTGCACATGTTCCCTGTTAAGGCCTGTTTGAGGAGGTGGGATGGAATTGTACATCAGTACTGCAAATGTTCTGCCAGTGAGACGGTCTGAGCAGTATCTTGGGTGGGGAGGGACCTATTGAGAAAAGCTATATTTAAGGAGCATGAAAAAAAGTTATAGACTTGCTTGGTCAAAGGAATGATCTTGTCTAAACACTTTGAAGTCCAGTTTATCGGTTTTTTTCCCCTTGAAACACAACAAGTTTGTTTTTTGCATGCTTCTTGGGAAAGTGCAGTTAGGAAAAGACATGGAAGGTAAGCTACCGTCTGCTTGCTATTACTGTCATCTGGATTTAAATATACTGTTTTTGCTTTGCTGCTTTAAGTTTGATTTGTTATGTTGCGGGCGTTCAAGTAAGTGCTTTGTGAATTTGCAGCAGTGCCTGAATGCATCTGGGGGGTGCACCAGTGGGGACAGCGTCCTGAGTGCTTATGTTGACTTTTTCCATGCAATCCTTTCCCCTCTCTCTAGAAAATCAGTGAGAATTGCAGTGCTTCATCAGCCAGCTCAGCAAGACAACCCCAAAATCCGACAGATTCTGGGCAGTCCGGAAATTGTTCAGCACCAACACCTACAGCAACATCAGATTCCCAAGTAGATGGCAGCCGTGTTGTGTCGGATCATGATGCTCAGCCTGCTGCTGCAGGGCCCTGAGATGCACTCATCTTATCAAATCCAGTGCATGGAATTCTGCTTCTCACCTGGGAAACGCTGGAGTAGGAGCTCAAAAGTAGGACTTCCTTCATCTTAACAATCATAATGTGATGCAGTGCAAGCTTTTAACTATATAAAGAATATTCATATGACTACACAGAGCAACATGGAGCAGGGAAGCCAAAAGTTCGGAATTCTTGAGGGAAGTGACGTTGGCCAGATAGAATGGTAGGAAGAATTCTTGGCTGCTTTGCTAAAGCTGAGTCAAGTGCTATGAGATTCCTTTGCAATCTGTAGAAAAAAAGGAGTTCACTCCTCACTTGCTGAGGCACAGAGTGTCTGACTTGATTGGATGATTTTCTTCTTTGAATTTATTCCCAAATAAAAATTAAGAGACAAATTTTTAAGAGAGAAACTGAGTTTCCCTGAATAGTCTACTAGAAAATGCCAGATCCAGTAATTATAGAAGTGTCACAAAACTGTTTTTGTAAAGATTTCTCAGAAACAGAGTAGGTTTAGGAAGCGTATCTTAATGTTACCGTGACGGATTAAGTAAACCACACACATATTCAAAGAATATGTTTTTGAAGCTGAATTTCTCTTGTTTGAGATAAAGGTTTAGTTCTGCAAAGCAAAGGTTTTGAACTGGCATTTTAGCGAAACACAAAAGCTGGAGGAAGGCTTCTGAAGTTACTCTCAGCACTTGCAGCCGTGCAGTTGGGCATAGGTTGTGGTGTGTTTGGGCAATTTTAGGTTTGATGTTGTATTGAGACAAGAATCTTTGGTCAAGATTGCACAGCCTGAGATTGATCAGGGGTTTTGATGGACATGCAGTCTTCTTGGGTTTTTATTTCATCATCTATACAAGGGTTTATTTAATGCAGTGTAGTTACTATGGTTATTTATTAAGAAAACAGTAAGCTTTAAGTGCCTAGGGAAGGTGGGGGGATGGTAGGGAGGAATCACCTTAAAATCTTAATGTTTAGAATTATAGGGGCAAAGTAGTTGATGCAGAAATCAAGTAGAGTGAGTCTCAGGAGGAAGCAAATGTAACTCAATTGCAGTATGTTTAGGAAGTTACTTTGCCCAATGTCAAGACACTGGAGGACTTTGGATTATGTTTTGTTATGCTTCTCAATACTAACTGCAGCCAGCTTGCGTGCTGCTGCATGGTGAACATTGCTGCTGGAGGGAAATCCTCGGGCTCAGGGAGGAGTCAGGAGGGGTTTAGTCAGGATAGTGTTTTGGCCCATTTTCTTAGATTAACAGCTTGTTCCTGGGGGATTCTGAGCACTCAGCTCCCAAAGGACCGAGGGAGCCCTGCTCAGCTGCCCTCCTTGCGTGAGGTGTCAGGCCTTCTGTGAGGAAGGTGTGTGCTGTGGGAGTGTGCAGTGAGCCAGAGGCAAGGCCAGCAGACCAGGGGTAGGGAGAGGAAGATGGCAGCAGCTGAGCAGGAAAGGGGGTGCACAGGTTCACCCACTCTTGACATCTGGTGAGCTTGACTGAAGGGGTGTCCCGTAGCTGTGCTTTAGCTGTGCTTTTAGAACAACCCACGTTCTGGCAGTGCCTGGGACCAACACCACAGACAATAAAAAGAAACATCAATGACTAGCCACTAGTTACTTTTTTTGCACTTGAACCTAAATGTACTGTACTCACATAAATCCTCATGACTTGTCTAAGTGTCCTTTAAAATAAGAAATGTATTTATTTTATGTTTGTATAAGTTGGGGGAGAACTAAAGACTGAACAGGTGACAGGACAGAAGGATGCTAAAAATCATCTTGAGGCTAACCAACCATTTGAGTTCATGCTGTACGGTGTTACCTCAGCTGCTACTGCATAGCACCTGGATTGTGAAGTGAAGAGCTTGTACACTGTGTTTACACTTCAGAATTGTGTATTTGAAATGCCTGCTCTTTTTGGAATTGTATAGTCATTCTATGTTGCAAAATGGACATGTACATCTGGATTTTGATATTTGTGGAACTCTAAAAACTGTGGTAAGAAATATAAAATATCCATAACGTATTTAACAGTATCAACCTGAACTTTTATTTCATTTGCTCGTATTACAGCGTCAGCAGTGAACATAACCACCTGAACTGAACACAATTCAATGATAATGATAAGGTCAGTGGAGGATACTGAACCAAGAGCCTGGGAACTACTGTGTTAAAGCAGTGTTTCATAATAAAATCTGACTGTAGGCACTAATTCCCTTCTCTGGGTTGCAGGAATGTGAGGGATGCACACTAATGTGCATCATAAAGTGGTTGGTATGGAAGTGTGCAGGGCATCATTGTAAACACCGTGAAACAGAAGATAAATGTAGCATCCTTTGTTAAGGAAGAAAGGCTTTTGTAACAGGGCAGTGGATTAACATCTAGATTCTCTTCCCAGATTTTCTGGCTGAACAGTGGACAGTACTTAACAACTGTGTTTCAGTAAGCCTGAAATCTCCACATATCACAGGAGCACTGTGCAAGTGAACTCACTGTCAGCAAAGGGCTCCAGTGACAGCAGCTGGTTTGGGTGGGTTTTGTTTATGAAATGCCTCCAGTGTTGGAACAGGCTTGTGAGGATTTTTAAGGTTAGTATTAGATATCCACTAAAGTAGCCATCATCTTTCCCATGTTGCTGCATTTCAGTGGTGCACGTGTTTAGTGGTTTCCTGCTCTACTTTGGATAGTATTTACCCATCCCTGCCAAATGATGGATCTCACAACTACACAAAACATGAGTTGATTTTAATTTCTTTTTAATTTTTCCTTGTTGAAGTAGGTGTACCTGGTATTGCTCTAAATAATTTAGAAAAAGGGACACTGCCTGAAAACATGTAATTGCCTGAACTGGGGGAGCTGTTCCATTTAATATATTGCTTAGGTAAAATACTACCTTGATGCATAATCTGGGCTATTGGATATAAATACATATTATGTACTTATATCATACAAATATGTACTTATGTACCCCCATATTATGGAAGGAAAATCATCACCACCTCAGTAAAGAGAGGACATCCAGAAAAATTGTGTGTTTAAGCTTGAACAAATCTGATTCTCCCCCTTGGTCTCAAATTGCATGGATGGGAGTTCTTGGCTAACTATGAAGTGCACTGAAAAAACACCTGTGTACTTAAAAACCTGCAAAAAACATTTAACAGTGACATCTCTTCAAGTATCCTTTGGATAATCTCTAATAATTTTAAGTACTCCATTTTCACAATGGTGACACAGGCAAAGGTAAAATACATCTAATTTAGTCTACTATGCCATCAAAGATTTCCTCCATTTTTGCAACAGATTGTTGCTAGTGCCAGAGCCCCTGTCCAAGCCTGACTTCCTGAGTGTGGATGGCAATTTAGCTGTGGATTTGGTAGCAGCAGCCTCTCTTAGGGGTGAGTCTTGCTGCTAGTGGCCTTCCTGAACAGAACTCCTGCTCTGCTTTTGAATGTTATGGACTTAACAGTGAGTATATTTTGGATCACCTGCTTGACTGGGCTTCTGTCTGCTAAACATGCTATGGATTCTGCATAGGTCCTTACGCATTTATGGCACTAAAGGATATGAGGTGTCACTTTAGTGCCAAGTGGAGTGTTTGTTCCTTGTAAAATGAAGCAAGGTGAAGCAATATAAAGGAGGAAGAACCATGGAAGTAAGGCTTTTGAGCACCAACTCTGAGTCCTGTGTTATACAAAGGAGCTCTTGGAATATGGTATGGCTGCCACTTCTTAGCACTGTTAGAGGTAAGAGATTGTCTTCCTTGTGCAGCGATGGACAACGAGAAGCCAGGACAGCACATGCACTGCTGAAGTCACGCTGCATCATGGAGGCAGTTACAAAGAACAGGTACCCCTTCTAAAGCAAATACATCCCAGTCTGATGTACCCTTCTGGAGCACTGCCTCCTACTGCTGGCGATTCCTGGTGGGTTTGTAAGATCAGACAGTGACAGAATTGATGGTCTTTTGTTTTCCGCAGTTTGGAGACAGTAAAGGAAAACAGCGAGGTGAGTACGTAAGAATACAGGGATAGTCTAAAGAACAAAAGAAGGAAATGACCTCTGCAGGTGGATGAACTAAGGGTAGATGCTCTACTCCTTAGCCTAGGCCTCTGTAATCCATAAGCTGAAAGACAGCTGACTGCCTAAACTTCTCCCCCTGTTCTGTCTTCTCCTGCCCACACACCTCCTGTGAGAAGTCCCACAGAGGGCTGAAGAAGGGGAGGTAGGAGCCAGGTATCATCCCTTGTTGTGCCAGGAATGACTTTCTGCTTCTTACTGAATGAGCAAACTATGGAGTACTCTGAGGGCAGTGGAGCTCTATGTGGCTTATCTTCATTCCTAATTAGATGGTCACAGCAGCACTCTGGCCCTGCTGACAGCAGTTTCTCCAAGCAGCTGAAACAGTCTCGGCCTGTGTGGCCTTTTCTGGGCTGTTGAGAGGCCTGGAATGGACAGAGCACCTGTGGTAAGGTGGCACTGAATCTGAAGGCAATAGTAAAAATACCTTTGGGGATGAAAATCCTCTCCTAAATCATCTGCACTGTCAGAAATGGAGAAGCAGAGGGCTGAAGAGAGGTTTAGCAGAAGTATCCATAGAAAAGGGAAGAGCAGTATGTAAATAAACAAAGTCATGGAAAGAACAAAATGCAGTATTAACTAGAGCAGAGAACAAGAATGGAGCAATACAAGCAGAGAGTGAAAAGTCAGGCAGGGTTTTGAGTAAGGGGAGCTTTAAAGTGGAGAGGCAGAGTGAAGGTAACAGACAGCAAGCCCAGCCAGAAGAGCAAACCAACCTCGTTCAACTGCATTAACTCTGTGAAAAGTCTCACAATAAACACAGTTTATCGGCACTCTAATGGCATTAATAAAAGTGTTGACACATAGTGTACTTAATAAAAGCAGAGTATTAAAAACTGGTTCTTCTCCCTCTAGTGCTCAGCACAGAGGACTTGAGGATGGAAAGAGACAAAACAGGTTCCCCGTTTCCTAGAGGTAGTATCCTTGGTAAAACAAGGCATCCTGGTGGGACAGGCTGCTGCCTGCCATGTTTGCTTCCCCAGTTAAAATACCAGTAGTATCAGACTCCTCTTCACTTGAACAGCCCCAATGGTTTCTCTGTTGCTCTGACCAGGTAACATCAGTGATATGGGAAATATTATTTTCAAAAATCCTTGTTTGTCCACCAGCAACCACAAGAAATGGCCAAGTGGGAGTTCTCAGTCTGTATCCTTCCTTTCTAGGACAAACGTGTTTTCCCTCTCCTTTTTTTTTTTGTTATTTCCCAAAGCTCAGAGCAACTCAGTAGCATATGGAAATGAAATTTGTTTATGCATTTCATCTCCGTTCTCCTCATCTTCATGGATGGAATTGGCTGGATCATCCTGCTCAGACCGTGCCCTTGTCTCAAAGAGCTGCTCCTCCAGGAAGGAGCTCCCAATGCCGTATTCCTCATCATGTGCCTTTGCTTCTGCAGGTGAGACGTGGGGAAATCCCAGAACAAAATCTGCAAACCTGCCAAATATTTAAAGGGAGAAGTGAGCAGCTGAGAAATTAAAAAAAAAAACAACAACAAACCACAACTGTAAATGCTGGGGATACTGCTGTTTAAGCAGAAATGTTTTAAGGACATGCTTACAGGCAGTGCAGGTGAGGGGAAGTTGCAACAATGGATGGCAACGACTCTGCAGACTGATTTTCCTGCCTCATCTTTTCAGTCTTTTCTATAGAAGTAACTTTTGCTCTTCTGGAAGCCATCCTACAAGGTCTTCTGACTAAGCAAGAAGACGTAACTTCCATTTTCTCATCTTGTCAGTGCTAATGGGATAATCCAGAGTAAGCATTTGTACAGCTGGATAGGTGGTACTTTAGCTTCTGAAAATAAATTAAAGCTGTAGCATATTTGAGACAAAGGCTGTAAGAATTCGGGTAAGTTGGTTTGCTAATGAAAGGAAATATGGTGAGAACTCTGCATTCCTATATTGCTGTGCAATCACCTTGCTTCTGGTGCTGCATGCACACGGTGGGGCAAGCTGAGCTCAAGTCTTGCCAAGGAATTCCTGGAGCTACAAGCTGGGAATTCTGCAGCTGCTCCAAGTAAATGCCAAACTGGAGGTCTGGCAGAAGAAAGCATAAAATCAGCACTGTCCCTACATTTCATTTGCCACAAATCCTACTTTCAGTGGACAACTCCACTGAAGAGAGAGAGTGGAACTGGAGGTTTCTGGCAAGCGTGTGGGAACAGACGGCAGTTCTGACACCTGGGTAAGTGTCGACAGCATCAGAGGAATGTATGAAAGAGGAAATGCAGCTACATTCTGGAGTTCTGGTAAACTGATCAATAATTTACATTTTAGACTTAACATTTCTGCGAGATGAATGCTGTCACCTCGCTGTTCTTGGAAGCTCTGTTAGTCTAAATGGGGAACAGCTTTGGGCTGGCTGGTTTACAGGTCTGCCTTGTGATGAACTGCTGTCTGATGCTTAATGGGAGCTTGACGGAGGACTCAGCTTCAAATCTTCTGGTTCTCCTTTTTATTTTTGTATTCTTATCTAGTTAACAGTTTATAAGAATTGTATTAACAAAGTGATGTCTAGAAAATACATGTCTCCATTGTTTGTTTTGCGCATTTGGCAGTATTTGGTTGTACAATACTGCAGTAAGCTTTCACTTTTTTATTTCTATCATGCTAGAGAATGCAAGCAGCTTAGGAAGTAAGACTGTTTAACTGTAAATCTATAAGATCTGGCAGAAAGGCTGTCTGCATGCCCATCCAAGGAAGATTAAGGTTCTGAAACTGGTTTTACCTGGTCACTGATGAAAATCCAAGCTGGCTGGAGCTCCTTTAAAATTGTGACACTTGGTTCTGTGGCAAGAACTAAGTCTTTGTGGCTGGCTAATATGTGAAATTCTGTTTCTGACGTCTTAAGTTTTGGTTTTGATGGGAAAACACTGTTATGATGATTAATTTTATATTCTGCAAGCTTTTCTGGCTTCATTTGTCTGACCCTTCCTGACCTATATTTGTTTAAGTCTGTC